GGAATTATAATAGATTTGGAATTTAAACTTTGAACAATCTGATGAGATTATAGGAGATTCACACTGTGGAAACAAAAGTGGGAAACAGGACTGTGGAATCTACTTTTGAATTTGTTGTTATTTATATTTCTTAATTTTCTGGACTTATTATGGTTATGATATTTTAATTTGTCCATGAGAACGCAAATGATTAATTGGAGGTCTGTTAGGTGCAAATTGTTCCAATTGGGTTTGATTTGTGTATGTGTGGGACATTAGCCTTGAAACAAACTAACAAGGAAAAAGCAACTGGGAAGTGGGAAGCCACTTTCTCCAAGAGAAAAGAATGATTATGGTATGTCCCCTAGACCTCTTTACTAGTCTTAAGCATTTAAGCATGGTCATATTACTTTTTAATGTTCTGTTCAATTGCGCCGCGAGCGAATTGAAGTCTTAAGGTAAAACTACAAATAAAAAGTCTTGTAGTAAATATTCTTTCTCGAAAATTTATTGGATAAAATTTGTTGTTCTTTTATGGGGCTCCATTTCAGTCAGTTGAGAGAATGACACTGCGTGGATGAGTACCTTCTATTATTTGAGTATGTAAATCACTTTGAAATTCATTTGTTTTGGGAAATGGCAGATGCACGGTTGCTTATGGACCTTCAATATGTGGATCTATATCTGGAGTGTTGCCATCAACTAAGCTCTACTGAAGAGACATTACCCTTTTTTTTCTTTTTTTGATAAAATGTAGAGTTTTATTTATCCAATAAAATTGGTATGTACACATAAGCAGCAAGTCATTTGCTACTACAATTAATTACAACTCCAATCAAAGAAAGAATTCATCTAAGACTGTACTAGTGATTTTAGAACCCCTACAAGCCCCCACTACACTTCTATAGACATTGATATTGAAGAGGACTTTGGTGCTGCAAAGGTTAAAACTTTGTTCTTTCCATAAATTTAAAAAAAAAAAAAAAAAGAAAAAAAAAAAAGAAAAAGAAAAAAACATCAGTTATAATCTATGAAACACATTTGAATTGTTTCCTATAAATTCTGTTGTTCCTCTCCCTCCAAACATGATACAGAGCAAGCTTTATAAGAGCACAGTATAAGTACTTCCTTCTAATCCTTTTCCCCAACCAAGCTAGTAGCCCTTGCCAAGAACAAAATAGAGGAATTCCAGTTATGCCACGAACAGTTTGCCATACTTGTTTTGTAAATTGACATTAAAAAAACAAATGATCATTGGTTTCTACTCTGGACAACAAAACAAGCGTCATCAACACTAGGAGTCCACTTCTTCCATCTACTTCTCGTCGTTAATCTGTCTACTCAAAAGACATTTCATCACATTGTGTTTCAATTCCTCCATGAAAGAAAACTTGGACATGCAGAATACTAGATTCAAACAAAATTGGGAAAAAAAAAAAAAAATTCCTTTAAGGTATGTGTTGAGTAGAATTATGACCAAGCTAGCTTAACATGCATTAAAATTAAAAATGGACTATGTTTTTCTTTAATTCTTCTTATATCCCATTTCCAGTATTAACACTACTTTGTTATGCTCTTTGAGCTGACATCAAAGTTGTCATTTCATGTTTAACAGATGAACAGCTGGAAATCAAGGATGAAAACTGAAGAATAAGAGATATGCTGTGAAGAATAAGTGATCTGCTAATTAATTATTAATGAGCTAATTTCACTCTAATAAGAATATTAGTCATTCATATAATAATAAAATTTAAATATTGTCTCAGAGAAACTTAAATTAATTAATTATCAAAATTAACTAATTATAATGTTATTTAAATAATTAAAATTAAATGATTCAAATGAATTAATTAACTAAATTAATTTAAAAAAGCTAAATTGATTCTAAATAATACCAAAAGTTGAAATTCTAAAATATTTAATTTCACCATAATCAATTAATATAAAATTTAGATTAATATATTTTAAGGTCGTTATTATTTATGTGGCAACAAAATTTCTTGTTTTATTTAATATATTTTTTCAAATTATACCAAATTGATCTTTA